ATGTTTGGGATCAGTAAGATTTTTTTTTAAAGAAGTAATAGTTTTAGCAAGACATTAAATTGATCAAAAGTGACATTTATAATATTACAAAAGATTTCAAATAAATGCGGTTCTGTTGACCTTACTGAAAACAGTTTCCACAAAAGCAGAACAAACGTTTTCAACATTGATAATAATAAAAATGTTTATTGAGCATCAAATCAGCATTTTTAGAATTATTTCTGAAGGATCATGTGACACTGAAGACTGGCGTAATAATGCTGAAAAATCACAGGAATAATTACATTTTAAAATATATTCAAATAAAAGTTATTTTAAGTTGTAACGATTTCACAATAATATTGGTGTGATCAAATAAATCCAGCCTTGATAAGCATCAAGAGTAAAAAACAAAAAGCTTACCGACCAAAGTTTTTAACCTCTACTAAAATAAAATATTTACAATTGTTTTATTGCCTGAAAATAAGTATTCCATCAGTATGCACAGTTACTTTTGTGCCCCCATAATGGGTTACTTATTTCATTTACCAGCTGGAGTCTGGACCAACCCCTATTATTTTGCTTCCACAGACACAATAAATGATAATGTGAGTAACTACTCTGTGATCCACAGTAAGGTTGAATCAGTCCCCTGATGTCAAGAAGAGCAGAGCTCCTTATTAGCTCTATAAATGAAAGAAAACTTCAGTGAAATCTCTAAACAAACAACTAGCTCTAGCTTCAGTGTACTGGCGTGTGGATATCTTTGCTCTGACAGTCAAAACAACCAACACTCATTTGTTTCTCTCTTTTGTTTTCATTCTTACATTAATATTCTGCTTTCAGTCAGATCCAAAGCAGATATGGTAAGGTGTGGAATAAATAGATAAGCAGACACTGAGATGTGGTATAAACCTCAGTAGGCTATTACAATTCGAGATCAGAGAGGAATGTAGAGAAAGAGGAAAAAAGATTGCATCTGCAATGAGTTTTAAGAGTGACTTTTTAGTGTTTGGAGTGAGTTATTGTATGTGTGTGAGCTGGAATTCTGCATACTGTGAAGGATTTTAATTACAATCAATAAATGGTAGTGGATCGTATTCTCTAATTTGAGATTCAGCAGAATGAATAAAGGTCAAAGCCTTGATTACAAACACCATTAAATCCCTTACAGCGGCCTAATCAGAAACCTCAAATACTTGAAGTGTCTGTGTGTATTAAGCCAGACATTAGATAGAAAGTCCCATACAAACACACTCGCACCACAAAAGCCTGCACATCTATTTTTCACATCAAAGAGCATTTGCTTTGAGCAAATGCACATATACACAATGACTTGCAAAAGTAAAAAACCCTTAACCAATTTTCTTGTTTAGCCTCTTTGAAATGCAGTTCTTTGTGATATTATTTCTGAGCAATGAAATTCAAGATTAACTACTTAATATGACATTTATTTATGTTAGAAAACATGTTACTGAAATAAAAACTGAATTATGCTGTTTGTTAACGTATCCAGTCCCAGCTTTTGAATATTTCATACAGACACCATTTCAAGCAATTATAGCATTTTTCTTTTAGGGTAAACGCACTGTTCAGGTGTGATTCCCGAACAGTGATTCGCTCCAGGTTGTTGAGGTTAGACAGTCAAAAATACACTTCCACATTTGTCTTCACAGATCAAAGCAGAATGAGAATACAGAATTTACTCATGAATACACAGAGCCATTTTAGAAGTAAGCCGTAATCCTTAACTCAGTCCAGAGGGTGCTTTTGTTCGGCCTGTAGTTTGTGTAGTCAGAGCTGTTAAGCCCTCTATCCTGCAGGGTTTTTAGTTGCATCTTTTTTGTGTGCATTATCTCTGTGTCCCAGATTGTATTGTGTGTTCTTCTAAAGTGTATATTGCACGTTTAAAGTGTAAATTAGTTTAGATTATATAACACACTGTGAGATCTCTTCCTCAGAAATATTCCGACGTGGGCACGATCCAGTCCTCTTAGAATGACACTTTAATCGACTCTTGAAATGAGTTTCGAAAAGTGTTAAATAAGCCTCCAAAAATAAGACAAATATTAGCTTTGTCACAAATTTGTGTGTTCTTTCTTTCTTCTAGTGTTGACAGAGTTATTTGAATCATCCCTCATCGGCCTACAGCGAATAACCTGTTCAGCTGTCAGACTGCAGGGTTTTTCTGTGAAAGTGTACAGCAAACACTTACTTCGCCTTTTCACTTTTTTTGGGGGGGGGGGTATACTCGCCAGGCATATCTGTCTTGGGATTTCCTACCTCGTTCTCAGCGCCAAGTGTTTCTTGGCCTTCCTCTTTTCCTTTTTCCTTGAGGATTCTAGGTCAGATCTTGCCTGTTGATATCGGCTCCTGGAGGATGTGGCCTATCCTCTTTGTGATTTCATCTTGGGCTGTGAGCTGTGATGTTTTGTGCCACAGGTCCCTATTGCTGATGGTGTTTGTATTGCTGAGATTTGGAGGATTTTTCTTAAACAGGTGTTGATAAAGGTTTGGACTTTTTTAATAATGTTCGCATGCATCCTTTAGGTTTCAGCCCCATACAAAACAAGGACTGACTTGACGTTGGTGTTGAAAAGTTTGATTTTGGTTTCCAATGTCAGGTCCTTGGACTTCCAGATTTTCTTAAGATGGATGAAAGCAGCTCTGGGTAGCACCCTTATTTAAAGGAATTTTCAAGGTTCAATACAACTTAAACTCAATCGACAGCACTTGTGACAATGTTGATTGCCACAAAAAATGTACCTTTTCTTTAAAAAAAAAGCACAAATCTGGGTTACAGTGAGGCAATAACAATTGAAGTAAATGGGGTCAATCCGTCAACGTTAAAATACCATTTAAATAGTAAATCCACAAACCACAAGCATGGTAAGATGATTTTAATCTCCAAAAGAGTTGGTGTAAATTCACGACTTTGTTGCCATGATAACATGCATGATAAAACCCTAAAATGACCATAAAAATGTCAAGAATGTCTTTATGGCTCAAAAAATATATAGAATTTTATAAAACCAATTACATTAATTTTCATGTTAAAAGCTAAGCATCACTTTTCCTTCAATTAACTTACATTAAGTGCTTCACCTCAACCTTGATTTTGTCTGTCGGTTGAGCTTAACCATGAATACGTTTCACTGCTTTCAAGACCCACAACAGCATTGGCTCCTAATGAGTCATTTTGATTATTTGAGACATTTAAATTCCAACTTTAGTGTCTCTTTACTGTAGGCTGGCTGCATATTTTCTGATTGTGTTTGATTGAATTGTGCCTCACTTGCACAAAACTAATTTAATGAAAGAACAGGATTATCCATTGTTAGTTAAATCCTCACTGGCAGTCAGTGCATGGGTTTGAAAGAGCCAAAAAGAAAACTCTTGTACTTCTGAACATCTGCACATATGCATTTAAAACAATGCATACATGTATAATTCAGTTGAAACTCGAAAAATTTGAATATCGTGCAATTTCAGTAATTCAACTTAAAAGGTGAAACTAATATATTATATAGACTCATTACATGCAAAGTGAGATATTTCAAGCCTTTATTTGTTATAATTTTGATGATTATGGCTTACAGCTATGAAAACTTTTTCACAATATTCTAATTTTGACTTTGGGGTTTTGATAAGCTGTAAGCCATAATCATCCAAATTAATAAAGGCTTGGAATATCTCACTTAATGAGTCTATATAATCTTAGTTTCACTTATGTTGAATTACTGAAATAAATTAACTTTGCACGATATTCAAATTTTTCGAGTTTCACCTGTATATGGTTATTCTTGCATCGTTCCACCAGGTGTACCAGTCTTATTTTCTCGCTTGCTTTGTGGCTGTATTCCATCAGAATCCAATTACTTTAGTCTGTAGTTTTTTTAACTAACGTCTTCCTTTTTTGCTAAAGCCACCTTGAACCATCCAATTTGTTTGAATAGATATTTGGTCAGCAACATTCTTATCTTAAAAAAAAAAAAAAAGGTCTTTCCACTCCTCACTGCCTGAATTCAGATGGCAAGCCATCACACAAGCCGAGGAAGATCTACAGTGGTGCGTGTAATTGTATTTCCATTTTAAATAACTGTATCAAATTGTATTTGATGTCCTTGAAGTTGCCAGGGCATTGGTTCGAGGAATTTAAATGCTCCAATTTAAACATCTTAAATTACTTTCTCGTTCTCTGCTGGTTTTTTCTCCTGCTTGGTACAGGTCATCTCTTATTTAAAAGATGATTTTCACAACATGCTGATAATATTAGCATTAGTTTTGAGGGACGTAGACGAATTTAGACAAAGACTTTGTTTCCAAACAAATGGCCTTAGGACAGATTTTACAAACAAATCAGCTGACAAACAAATAAGTCTGCAAACAAACCGCTTTCTAAATAAAAGGCTTTCCAAATGAAACACTTCCCAAACAAACTGTTTTCTAAATAAAAGACTTTCCAAACGAATAGCTTTCTAAATAATAAACAAACTCTCAAAACAAACTTCTTTATGCATAAGTTACTCCAAACAAAGCATTTTCAAAACCCTCCAAATTTAGCAAATAAAAGATTGTCCAAGCTGTTTTCAAAATAAAAGACTTTCCAAACAAACTGCTTTGCAGACAAATGTCTCTTTATACAACTGGATATAAAAGTGTCGTCCCACTCACGCCTCTGTCACCTCCTGCTTCAATAATCATTTATTGCATTTAAAATCTGGCACCTCTAATGTCAGCAAGCATCAAAATAATTGTCCTGCTTTGTCTGCAGGGTACTATTAGGTGGCGTGCGGAAGTGCCAATCTGCAGTAAAAGCATACGATTATGTTTAGTAAGAGTTTGTGATCATTCATTATTTGAAATGTAAAAATAAAAACAGATGGAATATAATTATTACTAGGAGCTTGAGTTGTGTGTAATATCATGAATCTGTCTGCTTTTTTATTGCTGCTGATCTGTTAAATAAGAAAGAACATGTGGAGAAGCAGGCTGTGCATTTTTCAGTGACTAATGTCTCTATTTCTTGCTCTTTCTCTGCAGGTATGGAGACATGGTCCCGAAGACCATAGCAGGGAAGATCTTTGGCTCCATCTGTTCCCTCAGTGGGGTGCTGGTCATCGCTCTGCCTGTTCCCGTCATCGTTTCCAACTTCAGTCGCATCTACCATCAGAACCAGAGGGCTGACAAGCGTCGGGCTCAGAAAGTTCAGGTCTGTGAGGCTCAAAACTCCCCGAGGGGCATTGTCCCCTCTGACCAGAGCCGTTTTGGCGGAGAAGCAGGTCACTAGTGTTTAGCTCTGAATAATGCCCCTGTTAAATTAGATCATATTCCTTTTCCATGCTTAAACAAAGAGAAGTGACTCTTTTGGTGTCCCAAGTCCAGTTTCGAAGGCTATTAGTCAAGGGTGGAGAAATGCCAGAGGCTTTGTGGGTAAAAATCAGGTGACAGATGTCTTTCCCCTGTGGCGGTACCATGGTACAATGATGGTATCAGATGGTAATACTATGGTACTCTGGTAAACACGACTGTTCAAAAGTTTGAAATGTTCAAAAGATTTCTATTTCAAATAAATGCCGTTTATTTTGAACTTTCTGTTCATCAAAATATAAAGTAGTTGTTTTCAACATTTATAATAAGACATGTTTTTTGTGAGCACCAAATCAGCATATTATAATGATTTCTGAAGGATCATGTGACACTGAAGACTGGAGTAATGACTGCCCTAAATTCAGCTTTGCCATCACAGGAATAAATTACATGATTTCTCACTGTTTTTACTGAATTTAATAAACCTAACCAAACCCAAACTTTTGAACGGCAGTGTATATACCGTGGTACTGAATGATTACCATAAACATCTACCATGGTATTTACAGTGGTAGGTCTAAGAATATCATGTTACTACCATGGCATATGTAGTTTTTGGTCATTTGGCATTGATGTTCCTCTCCCAGCTTCGCAATAAAAGACATAATCCTTAAATAAAAATGTAATATTTAAAGCTTTGATATTCCCCTACAACCCGCCTCAGCTGCTCAGACTGTCTTCTCTCTCAATCGTCTGTTGTCTCACCACTATATTTTATAGTTCTTTGCATCATTTCTCGGTTGATATCCACTCAGCCATATTGCTGCTCTTTTTCCTTGTCTGATGAATAAGGTTATTAAACTTGTTTGTTTCCGGGTGCATGAAGGATAATAGTACTACTTCACCATCCTTTTCCGTCCCCGTATGAAATAACACCTCAAACAAACAGCCTTACATGTTAAATTAAGCATTTCTCTTCACCCTAGGCGAATGAAGGGATGACCTGTCACTCGTTTAATGGCAGCATGGCGTCAAAAGATTGAGTCTAGACTAGAATGAGATCCCAGCAGGGTTACATGCCCTGCGTCTATTCATCTATCACTCCATCCCTCCCCGTCCTCCTCCGAAACGTCTCTATATCTCTCTCTGAAGGTTATTTAGTTTAGGCGTAATTATCTTGTTAAATCACCACAGGCCTCTCAGCTTGCTTTTGCTATGCTAATAATTGCGAATGTTACTGGAGATTAGCTTGATCGCAGAAAAACAACACTAAGACCACTCCTATGCCATCCTATGTGTGGCGAGAGAAGTCAGCTCCTGCACTCAGTGTTATGTTATGCTTGCAGTCATGGATTTAATGTATGCTAATGAGGAATTAATGTAAGCTTAGGTTTTGGGTGGGCTTATGGGGCTGCATTGTCTCCGCAGGCAAGATTTCCACTGGCTTTAGCATTTTACTTAGTGTTCATTTAAAGTTTATCTAGTATGGCAGATTATTCCCCAGAATTCTCCATATTATCTCAGCTCGGATCAGCCTAAACCAAGTTTTGATGTGAAATTTCCGTCGCCAAACGTTTTCTGTTCTTTCGCAGCACGGCCGCAGGGGATGCGAGTTCAGTTTCAAGTCCAAACTGAAGCGGCCAGATGCGACCAAACCTCACAGGACCATCTTAAAAAATTTGTTGTCTGCAGTGTGTGTTTAAACACATCCCACGGTTAACTAATAAAAGAGTGGCATAAGTGCACGAACTTGCCTCAAGCCTCGAGTTAACCTCCACCATAGGAACAGCTGTGCTTACTGTCCAAAGGACATGAGAGAGAAAGAGTAAGACATAGAGAGGGAAAGAGAGCCAGGAGGGATGTTCATCCTAATGACAGTCCTTCCACAAATAGCTCGCCCAGACGAGACCTTTGGGGAGGGGTTTGTTTTTTATTCCGGCAGTCACTTTTGGGAGGTGACCTTCCTCTGTCTCACCTGTTGTCCAGTAGCCAAAATACAGCACTGGTACTGCACCAAAACTCTGTGTAATCCAGGTTAATAAACTTAAAGACTAGACAGTTATAACTAAACAACCCTGCAAGTTTAATATTACAGCACAAATATTAGTGGATGCATTATAGATTGAATGAATCCTTATTTGATGAACTGAAAAACTGAATTAGTGCTCCTAATCAAGTACAGTTAAACAAAATGTATATGTGGGGGTGTTAGAAGTGCATTCATATGTATATGTGGGTGTGTTTACTATTACCAACTAATTTTTATGGCAGCATTATGAGGTCTTTATAAACATTTACTTACTTATAATATCATAATCATAACATCAACAATTAAATTTGAGTCACAATGTGGGGCAGATTTAAAGCTATATGAGCGACATAAGTACTGTAAAGCAACAGTTAATGTTGTTCCAAACTGGTTCTGAGATTGTATACTGGATTGAAGGGGAGAACATTATGAAAGAAACTTACTCGACAACAGCAGTTCCTATATCAATAACCTAACAAACAGAATAACATTCTTGCGATCATCGCCTCTCATGTGTACCAGTATCTTTCAGCACATTCTACAAGGAGGCGCAAACAAAATGATACATGCGAATAAAAATGTCCTGCATCTGAGGCTATCACTAAATATTGAGAATAAAATGAGGAAAATCAGCAACAGCGCATATTATATTATATTTTTCTACATGTTGTTTTAGATCATGCATGCTCACTCATTTTTTAAAAGGACCCAAGTAGAGGACACATTCCTCAATCTTTTCACTCATGTTCTGCGCACGTTTCCTTCATTTTTAGTTGAACTAATCCTTGAACTGCATTTCATTTCCTTTATTTTTAAGATAAAATTAATAAAATGAAAGATTCAAAGTGTAAACTCAAACTGCCTTGCACTGTGCAGCAAAACATAGCTCATATAGCACCACCTACCAGTATAACTGATCTGGACGTTAATACCATAACGGTGTGAAAGTTATGATATCGTAAATCTATTCCATACCTGTATGTCATTATTCAGTGGATCAAAAAGGAGACTGTCCTGGTCACTTTTTTCCATCTAATTACACTGAATAGGAACTGAAGTTTTTATGTTTCCAAAAGGATCAAAAAGCACCCTAAAGTGTCGTAAACTTGATGTTGATGACTCGAAAACATCAGTCTGACTTATGAACGAATCATTCAGTCATTTTTCTGATCCATGTGAACGGATTCAATGAAAATAATTATTTGATCCCAAATCAGAAATTGGTTTTCACAGAATCAGTTGGGTTTGAAAAAAAATTGCCGTCAGGAAGGAAATTTTATCGTTTTTGCCTCGGGTCGAGTTTATATTTTTTTCTAATGAATGTATGCACGTTTGGGTAAGAAGTGGTTCGGGTTGGGTACAGATTTGAGGACCCCGAGGAGACCTCTATTCTGTACTGCCCTGATGAGATTTGTTAATTTCAAGGGTTTGGGCTCACTTCTAGAGCACTCACAGGCTTTCCAGAAGACTGTGCATTAAGAACACTGCAGACATGACAGGGTTTTATGCAGAACCATCAAAGTGAAATGAAATTTTGATCAAAGTGTGAAAAGCTTCAGATTTTATATGCTAATAATGTATTTCATCTTCCAGTGGCTCATTGTGTCTCACCTCACGAACATGCTGCAGTTCTTTTTTTATTTATTTTTTGCTGTTGTTGTTTTTAGTGACTACAAAAAGCTATATACACCTTATTAATAGCTAAATCTGCATAGCCAGAGAGATAAAGAGAACAAACAATTTCCTAGACATCACACAGTTCTTTCATGACTGATCGCTTCATTATGCTCAAACTCTCATGGTTGATCCAAAGGTCTGAGATTTGTTATAGTTCAGGAATCAGAGTTTTGATCAAAGTTGGTCCAGTAATTGGGCTGATCCATTAGTTCTAAGAACAGAACTTAGCTGTGCTACTTCAGTGAATGTCAATGACTTGTTCATTATTAATTCGGCACTTGTTTTACACACACACACACACACAATGCATTTATGAACATCTGTGATTCGTTTTGACATCTTTACTTAGTGGTGCATGCAAAGGCACGGTTTTGAACAAGTGTTTCCACTCTAAATATTAAAGCTACAATATGTAATTTCTTTCGCCACTAGGGGTCGCTAACCTCTTACAATAACAAAGGTGTAGATTGATGACGCAGTGATAAGCGGAATCATGGAACTTACCGTCATGCTGATGGATCTAATAATGTTTATGGATGAGTGAAAACATTCATGTTTTTTAACATGACTGTTGTATGAAGCAGGGTGCAATTGCAAATGAGAGACAGATATCAGCGCCACATGCGAGTCCAGCGGATATTAGGAATGAGGACATTTAATTCTACCAAACTACCCACAAGTGCTGAATTACTACTCACACAGGTCAGTTTATTTGACGAATTAAACTTGTGAGGTAACGCAGCGCTGTTTCACTTGGTCTAACGTTACACTATCATACTAAACAGCATTTGAGTGTGTTGAAAGTTATAATGTTAATATTCTCTGTGTTAGTTTGTTGCCTATATGAGACTAGCAGTAAGCTTGATCAACATCAGAATAACATACTGATCATCTTCTAACATTTCATCATGTTGAGCTATATTTATTCTATTTTTATTTTGCAATCAAATACTTACAGGTGACGGATACAACAAAAAACACAAAGGCCAACAAAACATACATAACAACAGCCAACATGGTGTGTGTGTGTGTGTGTGTGTGTGTGTGTGTGTGTGTGTGTGTGTAACTGGGTGTCTGAGTGGAAGTATCTTAACAGAGGAACATCTTATATGTACAACAGACGTAATAAATATTCATAAATAAATAATAAATAAAAAAAACATATTGATGACAATAATAATAATGATGATGATGAT